ATCACAATTCAAGCCACATAGCAAAGTGCTTTAATTTCTACCATAAGGGATTTAAGAGCCATTAGGAAGCGTAAAATGGCATGAACAATATGACTCTGTTGGACGCTAATATGTTGAGTAAGCTATAATTAAGTTACACACATGGTGGGGAAATAGCTGGTTTGCCTCTGCATATAGTAAAGACTAAAAGAATTTTCAGACTTTGTGATCAGACTTGTCCCTTCACAAAAAAATAGGTGAGAAGGGAAGGGCAAGCAGGAAGACCTAAAGAATGTTAGCAAGTTAGTTATATCTTTGAAATATGGGCAAGGAAAGGAATCAAGTTATTACCAGATGCCTTTAATGAACCCAGACATGAGAAAGGTCAGCTGATTTATCAAATATTCAGGTATCATAGAGACAGAAAAACATTACAATTGAGAGGAGACAGAAAAAAATCTACTTCTGGATTGCAGGCCAAGTTTCAGAACAGAAACATTCACAAATTAAAATGTCTTCAGCCAAGAAATAGATGAGCTTCTTGAGTTTGTTGTTATTGAGTACAGAAAAGGCTATTGTAGAGGGAGTGATGGGAAGAGATAAGCCTGCAAGCCTTCCAAATAGTTATTTTCAATATTAAGTGTTATTTTTCATCATGAAAAGTAACAAAGCAGTGAAATAAGAGCCATATCAAAAGGTATACTTTGAAGAGCTATTTGAGAAAGATTGTTTTCCTAATAAAATGTCTTTAAAACCTCTCACTCAAAATGATGTTGGCACTTTTGTTACAGATCTTGTTTATCTTGGAGAAAGTGGATTTTTTTCCAGGTAATAAGATTTAATCAATTTCTATTATCAGAATTTTAATTTCTTTAGCTTGCAACCTGAGAAGAGTATAACTGCAGCAATTTAAAGCAGCAAGATCATATTAAAATGGTTCCTATATACAAGCATTTCTTTGCCCTTTTTTATACTTAATGTCATAAAAGCATCAACATTTTTCCTTCAGTAGTCTAGATTTCCAACAGAAATCAAGGTTTGAACACTCAACTCTTAAAATTCACTTAAGCATATCAGGATGACACACAAAACAATGATTTCATTTCAAAAAGGGACTGGACATTCACTAGGGTATGGTTACTGTAAGTTGGCTGCTTATTAAAATGATGTTCATTTTAATTAAGAAGTACTTACATTTATTTATCACTGGAAATTGGCAGTTGTATTGTACATTGGAACTCAGGTTAATCTACACTAATATTTTTTGCCCTGATCTGCACAGACAATTGGAATTCTCTTTCAATATTGGCTCTTGGTTGAAGAAAAGAAAGCTGATAGGGTTTCATTTACTTAAAGATTACATTCCCTACATTTCTCTAATGCTACTACATGATTCACGAAAGGAAACTGCATCCAACTTAAAATAATGTTTTTGAAATAAATGGAAATGGTTTGCATTAGTCTGATTTCATAATTAACAGATAGTTCTTTAAAATAAAGAGTAATCGAATAGCCTTACAATGGGAACTCCCTTCTCCTCATTTAAATTTATTTCATTTTTAAAAATAAATTTAAGCAGTGTGTGATTAATTTGGCATATTTGCAATTACAAAACTAAAGTTCAATTAAAGAGAAAAAAATAACTAATAAATTAACATAATTCAAGATTAAATATCTCATTGTGCAATCTAATAGTATTACTATCTCCTTATCTCACATAGTTCACACTATCAATAACTAGCCAGTAAATAAAAAGAACAGAATTAGTGTAAACTAGTTTCCTTGTAATTCCAAAGATCTTATGAAATACACTGGGTACATATAACATAGATACTCAATTCATAACTCCACTTCCAGTTTTTAAAATATCGCCTTCAAAATCTTACAGTGCGTGGAAGATTATTCTGACATTTTCATAATTCATTTAACAAATATTATTTCCAGGTCTTCTTCTATATTTACCCTTAGAATGCTTGTTTGCAAATAACAGAACCTCAATGTGAATGGTCTTTGTAGAAGTTACCATGATGTCATAAAGTAAAAGGAAGGATTAATTGATTATGACTGAGCCATGAGTATAAGCTGATGAGTAGGCAGAGAAAGTAGACCTAAAAAAGAGGAGAAAAACAGGCACACAGAGAAAAGCAGACAGAAAAATACTCCACAGCTTTACGTACCGCAGCTTCTGCAAAAGAAGAGAAACAGACTTACTGTATTCTAACTACAAAAGATGTAGGGGAGGGGGAGGACTAAAAGCCCAACCTCCATTAGACACTTACTTTGAGTAGGGGGAGAGTATATGATTGAACTATTATAAAAATTATATGGCTAGTGTAAGTAGTTTCCACAAGAAATGAGTGGAAATTGGCAAGATGGACAGGGAAGACTATCTCACAGACATTCGCCATACTAGGAAAGTGGATGGTAACTGTACAGAAGTAGCAAGTGATCCCACTTGGTTCAGTAACAGGTTAAAAACCTAGGGAAACGAGAGGCTGAAATAATAGTAGGAGACAAATGGTGAAGGGTAATTCTGGTCTGTTTTACATAGATTGCATCAAAGGAAAAGGCATTTTCCAAGCTATAAAACTATCAGATACCAGCAATTTCATATGAAATAAATATTTCTGTGGGTCAAAAATGGATGAATATTGATAATTCTGTATGTTCCAAGGTACTATCTTATTCAGAAAGCAATGGATAAACACTGCTACAGGTGAGAAAAAAAAGAGCAACGGGATCAAACAGGGTAGGAAGTAAAATAAAATAGAGTGTGATAATAAAGGAAAAGTAGAAACAACTCTTGCTTACTGATTGGTCACTTTGGGCATTATACTTTATATTAGGGAACATCTTAGAAAGCTTTGCCTTGGTAAATTTTTTTGTTCCTACAGGGCTATAAAAGGAAAAGCAATTATGTTAGGCCTGATTATAATATGAATAGTTCAGAGCCTACTATTTCACATCTAGGTTTTAAATCTAGAGTTACTTCAAAAAAAATGTTTGAAAAAATAATCAAGCCTAGATTCATATACTATGTTTTCCACTGCTATGTTGAACAACTCGAGACAAATCATTAAAGTTCTTTTACCTAGATTTCCTCAATTGTAAAATAAAAATATAGTCACACTCCCTTCCTCATAGGGTTACTTTGATAATAAATCTTGTGATTATATAATGAATAAAAAACATAAAATACTTAGGAAAGTTCATGAAAGATAGTAAGTGCTCAATAAATAAACTGGCATGGTTAGCAATAAGGTTATAATCTGGGTTTGGGCATGGTAAAAGGCACAGGCAGAGAGAGTGATAATACTTTATATCAGATAGGTGACAGAGGGAATTGGAGAAAGAGAGATGGTACTCAGTCTATAGCAATAGGGGCTATGCAGAGAATCAGTTAATTTTGGATCCTCGTCAGCAGGGGATTTGACATGCTGACTAGAAACTGACTGGGACTCTATCTTGAAGAATAGAGACACCAGTCTGATGGTAGGAGAGAGATGAGAGGGTGTGAGGGCAAGCACTTTGTGTCACCAGGCATAGAAAAATACTTCATGTATAATTGATTCTCAGGAAGTACTTTTGGATGGCTATGTAGACAGTTAAGTTTTACAAGTCCAAAATAAAAAAAGTATGGCAGAGACTGCTGTCTTTCTGATATTTCCTTGTTTTTCTTTTTTAAATAATAGAGAGTCCCCAATTTTATCTGGGCCTGTCAAGAGACATTTTCTAGCCTCGACTGCAGCTAGCTGTGTCCACATACTGAGTTGTGACCGATGGGATGTAAACAGAAATGATGTGTGTATCTTCAGGTCATGGCTTTAAAGGGAACCAGCTTACTCTCTACTGAAGATGCCACTGTACAATTGACCATGTGGATGAGGACAAAGTAGGGGATGGTGGGGCAATAAGAGAAGATGAACCTGGTCTCTGGATGATCTCAAGGGGCATAAGCACTACACTCCCTCCCTGGACCACCTACAAGTCCAGGCTTTCACATGAAAGAGAAATAAGCCTGTCTTGTTTAGCACTCACCATCTGAGTGGGATTTCTTGAATTGTCTAAAACAAACATTGATTATTTAATAGAAATAACCATTATTATAAAAAAATTAAAAACTATTCTATTATTTCTTGTATATTTTCTTTATACTCTTGCATACTCTCTCTCATCAGCGATATCTCATTTATATACTTCTATCACTGAAATAATTATATCAGACACAGAAATGATAATATTGACACCTAAGTAAAAAAAAAAAAAAAAATATATAGAGGTGAATGAGAAAACTAGAGAAGGTATTTTGCTTCTACAAGGAATATCATACTTGATTTAGTGGTTGATTTGCTTTTTAAATAACACATAAAACATAGATATTCCTCCTTGGTTTTAATAAAATATTGTTAAAGGAATTTCTCTTTAGATGTAAAATAGAAGCATTCTACTTTAGTTCATCTGGAAGATAGTTGAAAAATAAAGTCTGCATCACGGGAATTTGATTTTGCCGGATCATCAATCAACATTTTGAAAAGTCTTGTTTAAGATTCTAAATGTCAATGGGATTATTTTATAAAATTTGAATATTATATCTATTTTGTCAATTTTTCTATTTCTTTAATTAAGAAACATTTTATTCAAGGTCGTATTTCTAAATTTAAAGCTGTAAGACATGGCTTCAATCACATCTCTTAAATTAGAAAACGAGAGTAAAGGAAGAAATTAAAGTTGAAGGGCAGTGGAAATTTTAGTTGCTACAGTTTTTTCTCTTCTCACTGATGACAGAATCACAATCTATTCTTATAAATCTATTAATAACTATAATTATCATCATTTTGGAGAGAACTACTGTTAAGAGAACAAAGGTAACAGAACTTTGTCGAGCACTATTTTAATGACATATTGTAAATGAAAAATAAATGGGCATGGATTTTCATGTAACTGAGTAATCAGCAACCTGTAATTTAAGGAAACAGGTTTACTTAGCATCATTTTTATATCCGTGACTGTGCTTCTCTTACCATCGATATCTTCATAAGATGCATATGAATGTCTTCTTGGAGTTACTATAAAATCTGATACATTTAAGATAGGATTTTCTCCCAAAAAATCACCAGTCAGTATAACATCCAGCTCCTCTTCTACCCGCTTCTTGGACTGACATTTTATAACAACTACAGGAGAGAAATATTTCCAGTTATTTTGACTATTAGGTGATATGATCATTCTTGAGATAGAAGAAAATAAATTATGTCATGAAAAATAAAAGTTCCTTCCTTTGGCATTGCATCTGGCATTCTTCTCTATCTCTCTTTCTCTCTGTCTCTCTCTCACACACATCCACACCCACACACTCTCTCTCTGTCTCTCTCTCACTCACTCACTCATTCACTTATTCATACAATATCTATAAACATTGACATTTTGGAATAAAATATGAATATTAAATAATATGTGAAAATAACATAACAAGAGATAAATCTAGGGGATATAGATTAGATAATAGAAAATTATACTAGGATGTAGAAATTTGATTCAGGAACTGACCTAGCTATATTAATAATTCAATTAGTGGTCATGAACATGCGAATTTTTCAGCTATCTGTATGCTCATTGTGGTAAATATATCAGATTCTACTTATATAATTATACTATAGCAAATACCTTCAAACAATTAAAAAAATAAATTCTGTATCACTTATTTTGTAATACCAGTTCAAAATATTTTGATTCACTCGTGGGTTGATTTTAAATTTAGAAAATACACTAATGGACAATTAAAAATAAAATTATAATAAATTATTTAAAATCAATATTAAAATGTGACATTATTTAATGTACAGCAGAAAAACTTTATATATTTATATATTAAATTCCAATCTTTTCTTACATCAAGTACAGAAGAAGTTGTCAGTAATCTTGTGAGAAACCAAAATATTGTTACTATAAAGCTACTAATTATATAAAGAAGTATTAATGTATTCCTTTGGCATTAATTTTACGCAATAAAATAGGATGGGGCCAGGTATACTAGAGTCCACATAAGTAAGAATATTTCTCCAAAATATATTAAATGTTATATTTTTATCACTTCAGATGCACATAGGACATAAATTGAATATAAGGGATAAAAAGGGAACCATAAAATTATAAAAGCTTTTGAACTGAATTATGCTATGCTTTTATAGCATCAATAATGATATATTCACTTAAATTGCAAAATTGGATAATGTCCTGAGATTTTTGTGTCTTCACAATACATACCACATTTATAGTATAAAAATATTTTAAATAAATTTATTTTTAAATGATAAAATTTACAGGTTGATATTCAACATTTTGGATTTAGAATAAGTATGTGAAATGTATAATAAGGGTACAAAGTTAGATATAAACTCAGAGGGTTGATACGGCAGAGGAAAATATACAAGCTTTTCTGGTTCTAATTCACTTCGATCTTAAAGCATTAAGTTGGAAATTAGTATGATCAAAGTTACAATTAGTAACAATTAGTATCACATCACTGGTCTTGTCCTATAAGTCTTTAGGAAATCATTGTCCTGATAATGCAAAAATCATGAAATCACAGTGGATTCACAGCCATTGTATTTCCACTATGACAGGTAGTGGAGTCATTTTCCAACTGTCTTCCCCAGTGGAGAAGAGCACATAGGAATGCACAGAGAGAAAAGGTGGCTCACAGAACAACTAAAGTATGCTGGATTTGAGAATAACTTGGATGACAGATACATAAAAAAGAAAAGAAACAATAAACGTCAATGGTGATACAGTTGAACTGGGAAAGCAATAGGTAAACTGTAATGTGTTCTTATCAATGAAGAATGAACTGTACAGAAGGTACATAATATATATTTATAAAATTATACCTATTTGTTTCTCAAGGGCATTCGTAGATAAAAATAATTACTAGAATAGGTTTTTGACTTTTAGAAAAATAATTTAATAACTAGCACACTATCTGTTTCAGAATAGATCTTATGTTGAGTGTATGGTGGCAAAGTGTACCCCCTTGAGAACTTTAGTACATTCTAACTAGTTTTTGGAGGACATAAGAAATGACTAGTGTTTGGGACAACTAAGAATAGAGGGCTCAATGTTTCCATAGGATAGTTCTTGGATGAGACTTAGAATTACACAGAAGTTGAAATATGGTGATTAAATGTGACCAAAACAAATATCTGGGACTCATAGATCTAGTTGAAGGCTTTGAGTGCTTCACAGAATGTGAGATAAAGGGCCCTGAAATTAATGTTATTTCAATCTTAGCTGATTTCTAGGTTTTGCCAACAGGAAGAGCAACCGGAAATGGTGTAGTTTTGTGGAAAGATCATTGGACTCATTGTTAGAGGACCAGAATCATTCCTACACTCCCACCAATAGGGCTGGTTACTTCACAACTTACTTTCTCTGGACCTCAACTTCTTACTTGTACAAAGAAAAGTTGGGATTAGAAGGTCTCTAAGGTACCTTCAAATTCTTGTGTTTTCTGACACTAAAATGTACTTACCTGGAGGGAATTTAGCATGTTTTGCCTGTGGGAGTCCAAGAATGGGGTATATCCATTGTATTGTTTGTATTTCTCCACTGTCTATTCCCATAGTTCTAATTAGAAATTAAATGAAGAGTGAACAAATATAATAAACACTTTCAATATTAGCTGAAAAAAGCATATTCTTTATGTACCTAATGGTATTTTAGAAAAGCTCGTGAATTTAAACTTTGGTAGAGAGAAGCTAAGTATAAAATACAAAACACTTTCAGCAAACTTTGATTTTATAAACATTTCAAAGTAAATCCTGGGAAATTATCACAAGCAAAAATGTAATACAACTATTGTGAGATACAAGTTAAAACTGAAGAACTTTCCTCCTACATTTAAAGCTCAGCATTGGTATTTACTGATGTGACTAAACTGTGCTTAATCAGAGGAATTGCAATACAATTCCCATGGATTATATTCTAAATTAGACGAGCAAAGATGGCAATATTAGAACATAGTTCTCATCATTGTTCAAAATGGGCTTTTCTTGTTCAAAATGAAACATAAGTCATAGCAGGTAGGGCCAGCTTCATGGGCATGTGAACTATGCAACAGCACGGAAACCTCATACTAAGAATTCTTCCATGCTTGTTTAATGTATATACTATAACTGTCTTGAAATTATCAATAGTTTTTGAATAAGAGTCCCAGTATTTTCATTTTATACTGGGAACCACAAATCATGTAGGCAGTCTTGGCTGCAGAAGTGGTAAAAAGCATGGCAGAATGGGCCCACAGGAAAGAATTTTTTGAAATGTAGAGAGGAAATATGAACACACAGGGCAAAGAATTTCTTTTTAATTAAGATTTCTAGACCATTATTTAATTAACTATAAAAGCTGAGGAAATATTTAAATTTTGCAGCATTATTAGAGTTCCCCGAAATTTCAGTGAAGCAAAGAGAGTATACAAGTAACCTACATTCTGGAAATGACACAGTATCCCCTAGTCACAGTAGTGTTTTAACAGGATGTCATATCTACCTGGCACAGTGCCATCACTTGGTGAATGCCAGCATCACAAGTCCTATACTTTGCCCAGACAAGCTGTTTTAGGTTGTTTTCCAAATACAGGTTATTTTCCCAGTCAAAACAGTCCCTTTGTATGTCTCTGACTCTGATTCATCGGCATGATTCTTAATATCAACTTTTTCATCACTCTGAACTTCATATCAGCAATGATATATACTAAACCCAAATAACAAATATAATTCCCTCTCTGAACATATATATTGCATAACATATAAAAGAAACAGAGCATACCAGTGCCAGACTAAATTAAATCATTTTCCTTCAATGTCCTTATTTGAATGTTACCTTTTTGTTTCTGTGTTCAATTCATCAAAATTGTCAATAGGCCAACTTTTTCCATTTGCTCTCATCATTTGAATAACGACCATTGTTTTCTGTAATCTCATAATTTTGGGTACAAACATCACTGGGATATTTATAATTCCTTTAGGAGGCAATGCAATTCCTGTAAAAATGCAAAAACAATTTTTAACGTGGTAAATATTTTCAGATACAATTCAAACGGCTGAAAGTAATCTCCTTATTCTTTTACTGATAATCAATTTTTCTAGATTACTTCTTAATAAAAAATATATTTTGCTAAATTATAAGCACATTTTACTGGCTTCGCTAATTTTCTTCAAATGTCATCAACCCTATTTTCAAAAAAAACAAAACATATTTATCCTGAGGCAAGAAGGTTCTCTTGAAGAAGCTGGAAGGGCTGAGAAAATGTTGAAAGAGATGGCTTGGGTTTCTCACTGTGATAAAAGAACCATAAAACCCACAAGTCTTTTCAAGTCTTACTACATTTTGCAAAAGACAAAGTACAGCAATTTTCGATCCTTAATTTCTTGTGTATTTTTCCCCTAGACCATAATGGCTTCAGATATCTGCTTAGAAACCCCAAATTGCTACCAATAAACTGTTCATTTACTTAATGGATGCCGTGAGGGAAGCCAAAGTGTATTTGTGAAAGAAAAGGTGAAAGAAAAGGGCACCCACTCCAGCCTGTAAAAACCAGAAGGAAAAACTGACAGCATTTTCTCATGTTCTAATGCATTAGAATTTTTTAATCTTTACTTTGTATAAGAACCACCTGTGAAACTTGTTAGACATGGAGCTTGCTAAGCCCCACATTTATTCAGTCTGGGCTGTGGTCCAGGAAGCATGTTTAAGTAGCACCTCATGGGATGCAGAAGCAGATGGTCATGGGACCATACTTTGAAAATAAATCCTATCTGTTGGACAAGTATTAAGAGATTGGAAGAGTGGTGAGCTTCTGGCCATTTGTAACAGTGAAGGCTTCCAAGTGATGAGTGTTTCCCTTTATTGTGAAGAGTAACACTATTTCTTTATAAGAAAATAAGGGATATTGACTATATTTTCTTTTAAAATTCTTTGTTATAAGGTTGATGATATTCCCAGCCATTTTGTCTCAGATGAGAATGCTGTACTAAACTATTAAGAACATCAAGAAAGGAAATAGAAAGTGGCCCTTCTGCAAAGCATCCCAACTCAAAATTCTTATAAATTTTCAAATTTAAAATTTTATTCCTTCAGGAAGTGAAAATGTTCTAAGGTCTAATATTATAGTTAATAATAATTAATATGATTATGAGTCATTATTTATTGAGAATTGACTATATGCCAGGCTCCATGCTAAGTATTTTTCATACAATATCTCATTTCATTCTCAGAAAATCACTATAAATGAAGTGCTATTACGTTTCTTATTTTAGAGATGGAGAAACTGAGACAATTTGGTTAACTTGCCCAAAGCCCAAATGAAAGATTGTATTGTTTACTAAGCTGTCTAAACAATGTCTGTTATCTTCAACTTTGCATTTATAAGCTCTATATTTTTAGTGAATTGTTGCTTTCAAATAAATTAAAACAGCAAGAACTAGATAAGAATAAAAACAGCAAGAGCTGAATCAAATAAACCAGCATGCATCCCCAAGGAAATCAAGTTTAGAAATGATTACTTACCCTTACAAAATTATAGTATCACTAAAATTAGATTATATTATGATTAAAAGTAAACCTAGACATTTGGATGGTGTAAGGTAAGACAAATATATAATAGTATAATTCATTATTAACACCATGCTTTTTTATAATGTTCGAATTGAAAGTATGGAATGATAATGCTATGACACATAAGCTGATTTAGTTAAAAATCTAGTAGCGGATTCCAGAAGAAACACGAGTGCAGCATGAACATGTGGAAGCAAAAGAAAATAAGTATGCGACCATGAAGTGAATGTTTAATCTCAGAGATCAGAGGCTTAAAGAACAAGATAGATTAAAACCTAAAATGAAAAAAGAAAAGAAAAGATTCCAGTGCACTCAAAGAAAGAGAAGTCCCCCATACCCTTCTTGCTTGTTCTTTCAATATAACACACAGCTGGGCCCACCTTACCACATCCTGGTGTATACCAACTTCATCTACTTTTTCATTAAAGCAAAACTGGACTTAGTGCAGACAATAATGGACTGTCTGTATGCCAAGTGTATCCTTTGTATAACTGACTGCGTAATGGCTAAAATTGAGAAATTGGGGCAGAAGTATCGAGTAGCTCTAAGGATTGCCAAGGATCCAAGATATGAACAATTACTACACACACACAAACGAATCTATGCAGATGACTGCTTAGTACAAAGAGTAAAGCAGCACAAGAGTTACATTGTGGCCATGATTGACTGGGCAGGACTTTAAATGAAGAATGGAGAAGATCCTTGGAATTCCCGTCATGTACAATTTTAACCATAGGTAGAACACTGAGCGGATGCCAGATGATTGTAGAGTCCCTCAGTTCTAATTCTTAACAGACGAAGTTCCTCTGCTTTCCTTCAGCCAACTTTTTCTATTGCCAGTTTATTAAACATACTACAGCATGAATTATTATTCCACATACCCATTTGCTCTGTTATGAGCCTCAACTCATAAGGTTAAACACACTCATTTTTGATGTTGTTTTGAAAATAATATTGTTGTATCATTTTAAAATTTGTTGTCTCTTTTTATAAATCAGATAACTGCTCTCTCACACACACAAATCTAGTAGCCTATTTGTGGCTATAACTTTTCGCCAGACTAGAAAGAACTGTAGCTCCCTACTGAATTTATGATAAGTTTCTTTATTATTGCTTGCTTGAATAGTAAGAATCATTGTGCTGTTATTAATTTACAAGAAATGACTAAAATTTAACACTGAAAAAAAACTCTGAGAATTTATCAAATTCATTTTGTGTCTCACAAATGAGTTCTATTTCTTACAATGTTCCCATTGTTCCTTGCAAGTAGAGAATGAGTAGAGACAGGAAAGCTGTGCTCACTTCTATCTTGTAAAGGATCTACCTACGTTTTTTATTTGTATAGTTAAATGTTCAATCAATTTGTAGTTTATCCATATGTATGGAATGAAGAATGTATCCAATGTTATGAATTTTCTACATGGGACAAGTTATCCAAAAACCACTTACTGAAAAGTTCACTGATTTGAAATGCTGCCTTCATGGCATTTCCATATGCATTTTGGTCTTTTTCTGTATTCTCTAGATTTCTTTTTCTTTCTCTTTAGGTGCAATTGCCACATTGTTTTTAATTATATATGCTTTATTTTCTAGTAGGGCTAACTGTCATCTTCTCTAGCTTGTTCTTGTTTGTCTGCTTGCTTCCTTCCTTCCTTCCTTCATTCATTTATTTTTCTTTCTTTTTTTTCCAGCTCATTTTTTAAAAGAATTTTTCTAAATTTGGAATGAACAGTTAGCTCCAGGAAGTGTATGAGGAGGCAAATAGTATGTTTAATGGGGTCACCCTACATTTATACTTTAGAAATAATTGACATATTTGTCCATTCACGATCTATCCAAGAGTAAGAGCGTGGCCTCTATTTTTCTCATGTAAGCATAATATTAGGTGCTTCTAGGTTCTTGAAATAGATTTTCAGCCAGTCTTAGTTTTCAGTGTTTGCTAGAGGCTTATTTCAGTATTTTCACAAGTGTTTAGCAGGAAGCTGGGAGAAACCATATCAGTTGTTTCTATCTTCTGGCTAGGAAATCTAGCTAGTATGATGAGGTATAGATTATTTATAGAATTTTTGAAACACTGATAGTACTTCATGTTTAGTATCTGAGAAATATGAAAGAGTGACATTCATTGTATTATTACTATTACTTTTGCTTTTGAAATCTGCTATGGCCTAGTTACGTCTGGCATTCAAATTTTATTCACTGTATTTTAAAACTGCTATTTTGATTGCTCTTTTGATTAAAGCTGTTAGAAATATTTATGCACTGATCTATTATTTGGAATGTAGAAATTATAAAATGCTTTAATGGTTATGAGATTTTCTGCCTTCTTAAAAGAAAAACCTTCTCAAGAGAGTAAAGTGAACATAATCCTCATTTTAGTAATGAAAGTATTTCATCCTGGAAGATTAATTTTTAATCACTTTACTTTTACTGCATTACTGCTCCCCACAGCTTAATTTCTAATATTTAGTATGGCATTAGACGGCCCATGTTGGGTAATCAAAGAGATACTAAGAAACATACTAGCACACTAAGTCATGCTATTATTTTTGTTATAGTGGTTTATTTAAAATAAGAATACAAGTTTTTATTTTTAAAACATGAAGTCATTAAGAACATGACTTTTCATTAACCATTTTCACACATGAAATCTATGCGCTTTTTACCGGAATACTTGATATTTTCAGCAACAAATTTTTTGAAAAATAATCTTTAAATTATGATTAAAAGATGGAACAGAATTGTTTATCTAGCAATTAGGAGAAGAATCAATTCACTGGTTCTTCAAAGATATTATGGGTTGAATTATGTCCCTCCGACCAATCCAACATTGAAGCTGTAGTCGCCAATATCTCAGAATCTGACTGTATTTGAAAACAGGGTTTTAAAGAGGTGGTTAAGTTAAAATAAGACTGTTAAGCTGAGGTCCTAATCCAATTTGACAGATGTCCTTATAAAAAGAGGAAATTTGGACACTGGCACACATTAGGGATGCACTCACAAAAGGAAAGAAGACCATGTAAGGATATTGTGAGAAGGCTGCCATCTACAAACCAAGGAGAGACACCTCAGAAGAAACCAAACCTCCCAACCCTTTGATCTTGAACCTCTAGCCTCCAGAACTGTGAAAATATTAATTTGTTTAAGCCACTCAGTCTGGTATTTTGTATTGCAACCCTAGCAAACTAACATAAAATTATCTTTTCTTTCCTGATGTCTCAGAGGTGGAGGCATGGAATTCCATTAAATTGGCTGACAAAAATTATAGTTCCAGGCTCTCAAAACACAGGACTGATAAACTTGACTTTGACTGACACATCTGGTTGCTATGATCATGAAAAAGCATTCTTCTCCTCCAACCTGTACCTCATTGACTGAATGTGGGCACCTACTGAATAACAGGAAGGACAGTCCAGGGATTGATTT